CCCCCCGACCTTCCCCAACTTCCCTCCGACCCCGCCCCACTCTTCCGATCCCTTCCCCCAATCCTCCTCCGAACCACCTTCCCCCATCCGATGTGCTCCACCCTGACCCCGACCAATCCCCTTACTCCCGCCCACCCCCTTCCCCTCCACCGATCCGATCCCAGCCTTCCCTGCCCCGAGCCTAACCCTGTCCGACCCTAACCCCCCCTGCGCGCACGTGCGCGCGACTGCCCTGCCTCCTCCCTGAACCCGCTCCTGCTCCCCCGGCCCATCACCCGATCCTGCTCCCACCGCCCAATCCCGCTCCCCCTCTGCATCGCGACCCCCCCCTCCCCTACATCGCGATCCTCCTCCTTAACCCTGCACGGTATTCCCCGCTCCAATCACCATCCCCCATCCCCTGCCACGCCATCCCCACCCTGTCGCTCCCTCCCCCCCATGTACTTTTCTCCAGCCCACACTCGCACGACGGGACTATCGGCTGGAGCGGCACATCTGAAAGAAGATAGCGCAGGTGTCCTACGATGAGCGCAACGAGACCAGAAATCTCGTTTGGAGCACGAGGGCAAAATCTCATTCGATTTTGATCTCCACTACAATTGGTGAGAGCGTGGCCTACTGATCCTTCAGCGTTTCGGGACTTCAAGCTAGAGGGGTCAGAAAAGTTACCACATGGATAACTGGTTCGTGGCCGCTATCATCATCATCATCAGCAGCATCGTCCTCGTCAGTGCCGCCATTGCCGACGTCATCATTGTGTTGGCTCGTCATCATCAGTTTGTGCATTTGATCCGGCGACCTCATCATTCCACTGGGGGAACGATCGACAAGACCCTTTCGGGGTTGAATGAAGACCTTCCTCGACTAGGAGGAAGGACCTTGATTGCTCTCGACCGACCGGGAGCGCGGTATCGTCAATCTCACCCCCTCTTACTAATTCCCTCCCCTCCTCCCGCCGATCTCTCTCAAAGATCTCATCTTTTTCCTCTTCTTCTATCTCCTCTCTATTTCCCCTTTCCTCCTCGCCCATCCCATCCAATTGGTCGCATCATCTAAAATTCCTAACGCGTGTGACGCGTATATCCTCTTTTTGTGTTTGTTTGACAATGTCATCCATCCTGTTGTGCGGAACATCGACCTAATTCGATAGGATTAATCTTCGTTCTCTCTTCTTCCAACACCGTGAAAGAAATTAATTCCGACGTTTTTGTTCAA